GTTTGTCCTTACAAGATGACATTTGTTGTTGCTTGAATTGTGGAGAGAGGCCTAATCCGAGGAATAGTAGTTGGGAAGTAGACGTGACCTTAAGGTTGACGAATAACCATGGCCATTGATGTATCATCAATATGTGAATGAGTGTATATGATCACTTTTTTCGTGCATCAAACTATACCTATTTTGCCAAAAGTAGCTTCGTCCTATTTTTTATAGTTAAAAAGAGTTAAACTCAAAGCACGTGCATGCTCAAAATATATCCGGACACTCATAGATCTAGTTAAACTTCTGTTTCAAGTGAAAGTTTGTGTTCAAGAAACTGAATTTAGTATTCGAAAACTCAAACTTTTACCGAAATAAAAAAGTAATAATTAACTATCTTCATTTCCCGTAGTTAGAGTGTGACAGTAATTTAAAGCACAAGTACTATTGGAACAAGAAAAGCTATATTTCTTCTTAGCTGACAATCCTTCTCTGTTTTTCCTTTTTTTCTTCATTTTTTCTTTTTTTTGGGGGTTTTTTAGATTTTGCGCGCTCAACTCCAACTGAAATTGTTTGAAGATGCTAATAAACAAATAAAATGGATACTTCAAGGTTATATATACAGGGCATGCTTTGTGGACAGAATTACCAAAATCATAAATAACTGAAATATGTAGCCTGAATTATTTATCTGTCATTTATTTAGCCTTGCGGTGTAGGGGTGTTCACGGTCCGGTTTTAACCGTAAAAAACCGTCAATCCGGACCGCGGATCGGTTAAATTAGGGGTGTTCACGGTCCGGATCGGTCCGGTTTTAGCCCAAACCATGATCAAACCGGACCTAACGGTTAATTTTTTTTTTTGTCCATAACCGAACCGGTTTTATTTTTTAACCGACCACAATCCAGACCGCATTGAACGGTCCGGTTTGGCAGTTAACCGGTTAAATCCAAAACCCTTATTTTGGGCTTTTAATTTTTATTTTTTTCATTCACTATGGTCGGTGAAATATATGGGCCACCTACGTACGCATCTTGTCTATTCATGAACAAAACACTCTTCATTTTTTTCACACCAAGTACTATTTCTACTTTTTATCAGAGCCACTAGTCCTACAAACCTCATCTTATAGATAATATTCATAATATTCATTTGTTTGTTTGCTTAAGTTGTGATTGAATTTCGAATCGTTTTATTTTCATTTGATGATTCAAAATTTATCTCCAAATAAAATAAAATTCTTTCACAAAAATAAGTTTTTATTAAATATTAATTTTGCTCTACAATCTCGTCAATATAATAAAAATAAATAAATATAAGTCATTACTATACATATTTACGAATATGTTCATTTGCTCATGTGTTTCTAATCGTCAACCATTCGTAATTAATACACTACTAGTATAATACCCGTGTATTATACGGGTGTTGAACTAGAAAGTTTTTGTAAAAAATATTAAATTTTTTATAATTTAATTTTATATAAAACATTACTTTGGGTTTTAATTAAAATATCAAATTATATTTTTTTAATCCTAATAATTAAACACCCGTACATTAAATTAAAATGTCAACCAATATTGAATACAATATGAATGTCAAATCGAAGCTCATCAAAAGATGATTAATTTGATATATTATATATGTAAAACAGATAAGAAATACAAAAATTATCAACTTTTAAAATATATTTGCAATTCAATGGTTATAATAGGAAATGATATTAAAATACAATTAATAAAAATATTAATTTATATTCAAGCCTAACTCCAAAGCATGATTTTTTGTCAAATAGGATTCTGAAACATCAGAGGTTCAACGCATTCTGAAATTATATATAGAGAGGATTATATATGGCATCTACTCTAATCATTTATTTTTATTTTATGTCCATCAGAATCTAAAACATATCTATTTTTTATATAAATATTTTATCATGTAAAATATTTTTTTTTAGTTGAGAAAAGGTTTCTCTGACCACATGTTGTGTTTCTTGAGAAATGTAGTTAAGAATTGGATTATCACGAATAACGAAAATCAAATCCTACACTCAATCCGCATGTTGGTTGATTAAATTAAGCTTAATGTAAATAAGTCATGAACTCGTAATATAGGAGAATAAAAGGAACATTAACCACTCCAAAACTCTCAAGGTGGACCACAACATAATTTTACATTCATATCAATGTATCATGACTGATTAAGTCAATACAATAAATTGACTCATAACTATCTCAATTTAGGTTTGATATAGCACCCATAACACAACTTGTTACGTCGATCTGATCGAGCTAGGAAAACTCCCGTGAGATAAAGAGAAAAAGTTCTCGATCGAGTAGCCCGGACATGGTTAAAGATGTCGAGCTTATAGGACCAACCCGACCTGGAGGTAACGGCCTCCAGGAGCCCGATAAAGTAGGCGACTTGTTGGTGTATATACTGAAAGTTTGGCTTTGTATGATATTTATATCTTATTTCTGTTGAATAAGAATCGTGTTTGATTAAACAAGTTTTATGTTTTGTTGTTTTGCACTTAGATAAAATTGTTCATTAGCGGGTGAATAGAAGGTTGTTTATTGTGTTTTTGTCGTGTTTCGTATGTTTTTCGTGCTTTAGTCGAGTCTTTTTTGGTTCGTTTTAGAGTTGACCGGTCAATTTTATCGTATTTCGTGTATTTTTGCGTCCGTTTTGTGTTTTTGTATTTGGCCGTGTTTTCTTGTCTTTTTGGTGTTGAATAGGTCCATTATTGCGAAGCTTGGGAAAATGAGTCGATCGAGCCGTATGAGTCGTCTGAGCCATTTTCGAGTCATTCTCGAGCCACCCGAACCATGGTCGAGCCATCCGAGCCGTCCCCGGCCATGACCGNTGAGACCCACCAGGCGTGAGAAAACACTCGCCCAGCACCATTTTGGGCGAGTTTTCCACCAAGAACTCGCCCAACTGCCTTGAACTCGCCCAACACCATTTTGGGTGAGTTTTTCTACTAAATGTGTGCGTTTTTAGTGTGTGTTTGTGGTGTAGCTATAAATGGACTTGATTTGAGAACAATTCCTCATTTGCTAACATTTTCTTCTTAACTTTTCTCTCGTCTCTCTCTAGTTTTCTTTCTCTCTCTAAGGGCTCCAAGACCCTATTCTTATTGTAATATATCTCTATCAAGATTACAACTTTTCAGCTTATTTCTTCTCGTGGATGCACTAGAGACTTGGAGACTTCGTTTAAGGTCCAATCGGAGACTTAGTTGAAGGTCCAAGATCTCGTAAGTTTTTCTTGCCTTTATTTATTGGATTTTTCTGGAGTAAAGATAGAAGCCTTCATGAGTAGAATATGCATTCATCCTCATAGACTAGGGATTATGTGATTTTGTTGTTGATTGCGTGAGCGAGAATTGATTGAGAGTTCGATTAATTGATTCGCGAGTGACGATTGCTTGATTGCATATTCCCAAACCTATGAGTGCCTTATTTCCATCTCGGGTCTTAGGGTATCTTGTTTCTTTTTCTCTTTTTTTTTTTTCATTTTTCTTGCAATGTGAGGTCTTGCTAGTTAAAGTTTGAATCTTGCTCTCGTTTTAGTTAAAATTGCGATCTTTAGCTTTAAACAACCACCAATCATGCGAGTAGAATATTTAGGATCTTAATTTTCTTTTTTGTGTTAGTCGATCATTGTCTGAACAACCTTCCTCAAGAGACGCGGCCCCATGTCGAGATTATCCCGTACTCGACTAAAAAAAACTACAAACAAAGGTCATTTTATCAGTTACTTGCAAAACATGAATAATTGGTTCATAATCTAGATAGAAA